TTTTCTTGGCCACTCCCACCTCGTCTTATAAAAATTTGTTCCTAATACTAAGTCTCATCAGTATGTTCACACATCCTCATCTTTACTATTATTTTCAGAGCGTGTGCGTTCTTGACTGACCAACACTCTGCCTCATACAACCATGTAGGTCTTCCATTAGTTGGTAGAACTTACCTTTAAGCCTTGGTGATACATTCTTATCGTAAAGTACCTCAGACACGAGCCTTCATTTCATCCATCCCCCTTCAAATCCAATGTGTGTGATACCATTGTCAATCTCCGTTATTTTGGGATTATAGACCCAAGATACTTGTAACTACCTTTCATGGGTATGATTTGTGTATTGACCTTCACTTTCACCTTTGCTTCATGCTACATAGTTGAACTTGCACAATAGATACTCTGTTTTTCGCTTGACCTGAAACCTTTAGCTTCTAGGGCTTGCCTCCATACTTTGAGCCTATCCTTACCTCCGCGTTGCTTCTCGTTGATCAATACAGTGTTGTATGTGAATAACGTACACCACAACACCTCCCTTTGAATATGCCGCACCAATTTGTCCATCACTAGGCAATAAAAATGGGCAAAGGGTTGATCCCTAGCTATATTGCCAAACTCTCCATAATTGTTGCCGAACCCATGTTGGATTCTCTAAAATGCATTACTTTTGGTGTATCAAACATGCACCCATTGCCATTTTTAAAGAGTCTGAGCAACATACCATGTGCAACCCCTTCATGGCTGAAAAATTCTGAGTAACCTCCCACTATTCTTTTTGGGTCTTTCACTCCGTTGTACATGTCCTTAGTTTCCCTAATGTAAGCCACATGTACATCTCTAACAAACTCTTTCTAAATGTTATTTGTATTTACGCTTTTGTAATTTTGCATCTCTTTGATGCCTTTCCTTATGAAATACCATTACTTTCATTAATAAACACTTACAAATGAAAGATACATCTTTAGAATATAAAATATTAATATTTGGTGAATTTTGAATGAATCTCCAGCATATAGTGATTAATTTTCATTGAGAACTATTCTTGTTGAGATGTTTATAGAGTTTCCAGAACAAGCTGATTATGTTGAAATTCTAGTTGAGATGTTCATAGAGTGTCCAGAACAAGCTTGTTATTTTTTTTCAACAGGTAACATATTGGTATATTATAAACATGAACCAAAAAGTGTAGTTTCATATACTTACAAGTGAGATGTCTATCACCAAAAACCTATCAAACTAGACTCTCATAAGTAATCTAAAACCTTAGGAATAGACTTTGCTTCTTAAAGATATACTTCTGTACACACCAAAAAAAGGGGGGACTAACAGAGAACTAGCGGGCTATTTGAACCTTTAACCATGAAGTTGCAATGTCCAGTTGACATTTGAAGCATGCATTGCCGCAAGAAAATTTTCAAAGAGTAGAGGAAGTCAAATTGCTGCACTCATGTTTACTGTTTTCTCATTTTCTTTTCCAAACATGATCTTATTCACATGTTTGTTTCAGTTTCCTTAAGTCTATGCCTTTCACTCCTATTTAATTGTGTCCTTGTCTGCCATTTTTTATTTGAGTTGTGCTTCCCTTAGGCATGGATAATGATTAGGTGTTCTTAATTATACGATATTTATATTCACAGAATTCATTGTTTTCAGAAATCTCTTGCCCCCATGTTACTCATGCCATCCCTTGTTATCATACAGAAAATGCTCTCCTTGGATCCCAGTAAGAGAATCACCGCGAGGAATGCCCTTGAGCATGAGTACTTCAAGGATATTGGGTATGTGCCGTGATTGTCTGCCCCTTCATCCAGAATGCTATTGTAAATTTGGTATGTCATCTACAAGGTTTTGTTCTGGAGAATCTGTGTGATCTTTAGGGCCTTTTTTGGCCCCTCAAAGTTTTTATTCCATTGTGTATCCTGTTCCAGCACATGTGGTCACAATTCGTGTCCACATGTTGTAGTATACTTTCCCGTGTAATATCCATTTGGTTCTATTCAGGGGTTCAGTATCCTTGTACAACGAATGCTTATTTAGATACAACAATGGATACTGTAATGTTAAATAGATTGGATTTGGTGTGTCATTAGAAGTTTTGCATAGTTTTGCCTGGAGTGGAACAAAGCTTGAGATGATTGTCCGACTCCTAGGTTATGCCAGTGCATTTCTTGATGACGCAGGCTGGTTATATCAAGTTCTATTTTGATGTTACATTCAGTTTCTGTTGGTTCCAAAATTCATATTTCAAAAACTTCCCTACAATGTACGCCAATATCTGTTGCTGAGAGACTATGCAATTATCTCATCTAATTAGCATGGGGCATATAAATGTGAAATGTTTCCAAAATGATTCGTCTATTGTGCTTCCGTTTTTCAAGTCACGCAACATGTCCTTAGTCTAGCACTCCAAGATACATCGCATTGTCAAAATATTTGGTGTTATTTCCGAAGAAAAATCAATGAATTGCTTCATGACTGTTTTGAATTACTTCAATTGGTGAATGCCAAGAAACGGAGGAGGTGAAAATAGTCATAAAAGGAGAAAGATTAGTCATCAAAGATCATGAATTTGTTTTAAACCTAAGAGGTCGTTTGGTTTAATGGATTGAGTGATGTGGTGGTATAAAATTTGGTTTGTTTTCTGAGTCAAGTATTAGGTAAATTTGCTAGAATTTAATACGTTAATTGATGTATTATTTTATACTGAGACCAATGTGGCGTAACAAAACAATAGTTATGTTATACAAGGTTTAACATTCAAAATGCCAAAGAACTACCATTTTGTATTCCCTCAAGCCCTTGTAGTTTTAAACCACACACAAGTGTACTTAATACTTGTATTTTCTGTCTTTCAACTTTGGGTTTACACAAGTAAATATTAAACTTCTATAAAGTTGAACAACTAAACACATGTGTCCTACATAGTGTTTTATGTGTATTATGTCATGTAAGACACATGTATCTACTTGTTCAACTTTATATAAGTTCAAGTTTTTATATGTCCACACCCAAAGTTAGAGGGCATAGATGTCAGTTGAAGCTAAGTAAAATGACATGTTTGTGTATTATATCAACAATATATGTATAAGGTTAACCCGTGGGAAGTCTATAAATACCCCTTTGTTGACTGTTAGTCATTTTTTCCTAACATTTTCGAATACTTGAAAGCCTTGGAGTGGGATTTGAGCCATTGGTAATCGATATCCAATCAAAGTGAGTTTATATTCATAATTTGTCTTAACTAAAATTGATTAACATTAGTATTAATAGCTTTAATCAAGAATATTTGTTAGATAATATCCTCCAAGAAATCAAGAAGGATATTTCCTTAGCCTGACTTGCTGCTAAATTTGAAGACCGAACAATTTATGTGAAATCTTTATAAAAGATTGAGCATCACTACGATTTTGAATAAAAGCAACTCATCTCAACAATTTTATTTTAACTTTGAAATTTCTGAATAATAATAATAATAATAACTGAGTTTGAAATCATCTGAAAACCAGGACTCAATTAGCTCCTTAAACTTGTATGAGTAAGATTCACGGCTATTATGACTATTCTACTAGCAATAACTAATAATTAAATGAATTGAACCAGCTAAACTGGAGCTCTCTAGAAGCAATAAGGTGTCACCAAAAAGCTGATGGAAAGCGATCTTGCTGAAGCATTTGCTGACGATCACAAACACCTGAATCTGCATGCTCCAAATGGCCTCTGTATATGAAATGTACGGTATGTAAAATAGTTGAATGAACAATTGACTAAATTGAGATGAATGAGCAACTTTCTAAATATAAGCTAAAATAAAGTCAAACTGAATAGTAAATCATGTAAGTACTTTAACAATAAAGCTTTATAACTGAGATATATGCAATAGTAGCAATACTGAAAATAATATAACTTAACTTTTCTAGGAGAGTTTGTCTAACACGTTAGCTCAAGATGATACAACGTCTTGCCTACATTGTCAGGGTCATTTTATACCTTGCTTAGGAAAAGGACAAACTTAACTAATTGAGTCAATCTCTCAGCCCTTACCAAGGGATTTCTGAGGAGTTGTCCGAATCAACAATGTGATCTTATTCTATGCTAGCCGTGTAGTTCTAAGTTTTGAATTATTTGAACTTTTATCCAACTCGATGCCTAATACAAACCCTTAAACAATGCAATAACGCTCAATAATGGTATGATATCCCATTTAGAGAAAATATCCACGTTGGAAGAAAAAAATTGATAATTTTTATCTTGAGTTAATGCTAATACTTTTTATAACTATAATGAACTTGCTTTAAAAGAAAATGCTTTTATGAACAACTGATGTACTTTCTTGAAACTAAGATATGATTTCTTTAAAGCTAAATGTTTTTCTTTATGAAAATAATGCAATTGAAGCAATTCGTGCTTTCTTGAATTCTTTCTTAAATACTACTTTATGATTTAAAATTTACTTTACTCATGAAAATAATGCACATGAAATAGTATATCAAGATTTTTAAATACTTCTTAACAAAAAAGGATGTTGAGATTCATTAGGTGCTAACTAATTATTTGATGTATGTAAATTAGTTAGAGTTGCAGTTGTAGGAAGTTTGTTATAAATTTTAGTTAGATGGTTAGCTGTCACATGGTGTAGATATTTTCTTATTTTCATACACATGTATAAATACTGAAAGGAGGAGGAATAGAAGGCAGTTTTTCTTTTTCCAAATTATAATCACGTGTATCTTTTTCATGTCACTCTATCGTCTTCAATCATAAACACAAGCTCCATTAATGGAATTCTTCAGCTGCTGAATTACAATCTTAACATGGTATCAGAGCAATAAGTGTTTTTCTTTTCCTTCTACAGATTCTGCTACATTTGTTCTTTCTCTGTTTTGATTCATATTCCATTTTTTTTGAATCCTCGTTGCAATCTGCTCTCGATTGTAATCATTTTTCAGTTTCCATTTTGATTGTAATTTTTTTTTCTTGTCAAAGTTTCCTTCAAAATCATCATGGCTCCAACAGATGAAACGAATCCAAATCCCACTAATCCAAATCTCGCTCAACCAACCATCAATTACAGTGATCCTTTGTATATGCATCCATCGGAGAATGCCGGATCTTCAATTACTCCAGTTCTTTTTGATGGATCTGGATATAGATCCTGGAGGCGTGGAGTTCTTCGAGCTCTTTCTGTGAAAAATAAGATTGTTTTCATCAATGGAAAACTGCAGAAACCAGATCCAAATTCACCTATATTTGCCCAATGGGAACGTTGCGACGACATGGTCATGTCGTGGATTCTCAATTCATTATCAAAGGATTTAGCCGACAGCTTGCAATACGTCAACAATGCGAAGGAATTATGGGACGAATTAGCTGATCGTTATGATCAAACCAATGGTGCAAAACTTTTTCAGCTCCAACAGGAGATTAATGACCTTGCACAGGGAAATCTAGATATCACTGGATATTACACCAAGCTTCGTCGACTTTGGGAGGAGCTCTCTACTCTGGACGTCAATACTTAGTATACATGTCTATGCGATTGTGGTGGTAAAATCAAAATGCATAAGGCAGAGCAGGATCGCAGACTGATTCAATTCTTAATGGGACTAAATGAGGTGTACACTGTGATACGAGGTAGTATTTTAATGATGAACCCATTGCCGACTATGCCACAAGCTTTTTCCATTCTAGTTCAAGAAGAGAAACAACGAAAAGTCAAGCCTTCTGCTCGCATGTCTTTAGCCTCGACTTCTCTCAAGGCTTCCACATCTCTTAGTGCTCTTTCTGGAAGTAATGGTTTCAAAATGAATTTTTCCAGAAATAAGCATACAAATGGAAACAATGCTTATGGAGGACCTACAAACCAGTTTCAGAATTCTAACAGGAACAACAATACTCATCCTTTTCCAGATATCAACAGAGCTAACTTGTTTTGCGATTACTATAAGAAAAGTGGGCACACAGAGGCTAAGTGCTACAAACTACATGGCTTTCCCCCAAATTTCAAGTTTACTAAGGGTCGACATTTTGGTGCAGCAGCTAATGTTCACTCTACTTGTGATGATTCTAGTCAGGGAACTCAAGGTTTGACTTAAGTTCAATAAGACCATTTGGTGAAATTGCTTGAAAATACTCAGATTCAGGGAACAAGTGGGAGCTCAAAAGAATCTGCACACAACATCATGAGTGGAGCTGTGAACTTCGCAGGTATCATGGCTTGTCACTCTTCTATTACTGAAATTGGTGATCTTTCATGTAATTGTTCCAAGCTTACTGCTGAATCCTGGATTATAGACTCTGGAGCTTCACACCATATGATCTTTAATAAAACATTACTCACCAATGTTAGACCTTTACTTTACCCATTCCTAATCACATTACCTAATGGTTATAGAGTTAGAGTGACAGAAATTGGGGATGCACATTTAAATTCAACACTGATTTTATACAAAGTATTGTTTATACCTACTTTCAAGTTCAATCTTGTCTCAGTACATTGCTTAACTTCTCATCTCAAAAGTACAGTCAATTTCAATGATATTTCGTGTTCTCTACAGGGCCCTTCACTAAAGAGCCCTCTGGTGATTGGTAAAGCAAGGAATGGTCTTTACTTCTTGTGCTCAAAATGCCACAATGCTGCTATTTCAACTTGTTCTTTTGGTTCTTATGTTTCATCTGATTGTCCTCCTCAGCATAATGTCAATAAACAAGTATCACATTTTCCTACCAATGTAAGATTTACCCATTCAAGTAATAAAAATACTTGTTGTAATACAAAATCAAATGTCACTTCTAGAAATATTTCTACACCTTCAGAATGTTTTTCTCTTTGCACATCTCATGAAAACAGTGTAGATTACTTGTGGCACACCAGGCTAGGACATGTTCCTTTTGTCAAAATGAAAGGTATCCATACCATACCAGTTAAATTTTCCCCAAAACAACCCTTTTTGTGCACTATCTGTCCCATGGCTAGACATGCAAGGTTACCTTTTCCATCCAATACTACCACCCTTTCCACCAAGGTTTTTGATCTCCTCCACATAGATTTATGGGGACCATACAATATACCAACTCATGATAATTACAAATATTTCATCACAATAATTGATGATTATAGCAGGTCAACTTGGACTCAACTGATCAGTTGCAAAACCAACACTCTACAGTCCATAAAGGCTTTTACATCTCTAGTAGAAAATCAGTTCAACACAACCATTAAGGCCATTAGAACTGACAATGGTCTTGAATTTGTCAATAAAGAAACAAATTTGTTCTTGCAGGAAAAAGGCATCACACACCAAAGAACTTGTCCATATACACCACAACAAAATGGCGTGGTGGAAAGAAAACACAAATACCTACTTGAAATTGCAAGAAGTTTGTTGTATCAATCAAAACTTCCCATGAGATATTGGGGGGAATGCATATTAACTGCAACCTATATTGTCAATAGACTCCCCTCTACAGTCATCCAAAACAAAACTCCTTTTGAAGTCCTATACCGAAAACTACCCACATACTTACATCTAAGATCTTTTGGTTGTCTTTGCTTCCCTACCACCCTTAAAACTCACAAAGACAAGTTTGAACCACGATCCACTCCACATGTTTTCATTGGATATCCTTTCAACACAAAAGGTTACAAAGTTCTAGATCTGATCTCCAAGAAAATACACATTTCAAGAGATGTATTGTTTCATGAAAACATTTTTCCTTTTGTTCTTCCTTTCCCTGATTCTACTTTCAGTTCTGTACTGAGACATCTTAATTCTAATACTGATTTGCTTAGTCCTACAAACAATATTTTGAATAAAACTCATCTTGATTTAAATGAAGACAACCCCACTACTGTCACAAACAACACTATTGAGACCACCATGTCAAATGCTACACATAAAAATATCACTAGGGACTCATCTGATGAGACCACTCCAACATCAAACCTTCCAGAAATAATTACTGCATCATCTCATCCAGAGATACCTTGTTCACCTCAGATTCCCACTACTACCACTTCCAGCTCACATCATCTACCTGCACCTAGAAGAACAAGTAGGATCCATACTGTGCCAGACTATCTCAAAGAGTACAACTATATACTTCCTAAATTACAGCCTCAACAATCACCATACCATCCTCCTGATATCAATGGTCAACAACATGTTTCACTCACTAGTTTTAATTCAGAGAGTCAGCAATTAGTTAGGAACATCATTCATGATAGTGAGCCAAATTCATATGAGGAGGCAATCATGAGCCCTGCTTGGAAATCAACAATGACACTTGAATTTGAAGCTTTATATGCTAATAATACTTGGAATCTAGTTCAATTACCTGAAGGAAAAAGGGCAATTAGATGCCCGTTGGTTTATAAAATCAAACATAAGGCTGATGGGACAGTGGAAAGATTCAAGGCTAGACTTGTGGTAAAGGGATACACTCAACAAGATGGCATCGATTATACTGAAACATTTTCTCCAGTAGTTAAGATGACTACAGTGAGGATTTTGATTAGTTTGGAAGTGAAGAAGGGCTGGGATTTATATCAATTAGATGTGAACAACGCATTCTTACCTGGTGATCTAAATGAAGAAGTCTATATGGATCTCCCGCAGGGACTCCAAGTTGGTGAAAAGGGACTTGTTTGCAAGCTAAACAAGTCTTTATATGGCTTGAAACAAGCTAGTAGGCAATGGTATGAGAAATTGGCAGAAACTTTGTATTCAAGAGGCTACTCACACTCCACCAGTGACTATTCTTTGTTTTACAAAAGGGACAAGTCATCTGCAGTTCTCGTAGCAGTATACGTTGATGATGTAATTTTAACAGGAACTGATTTGGCTGAAATTACATCCCTGAAGTCTTTCCTACATGATCAGTTCAAAATCAAGAACTTAGGGAAACTCCATTATTTTTTGGGTTTAGAGATTCTTTACAAACAAGATGGTGTACTTATTACACAGAGAAAGTGTACTACAGATTTGATCAAGGAGTTTGATTGTCATCATTATAGTCCAACTTCATCTCCTCTCGATGTTGTTGTCAAATTAAGGTCACATGAGGGCACTGTATTAAAGGACCCAACATATTATAGAAAGTTGGTAGGAAAATTAAATTTTCTTACAAATAATAGACTAGACATTGCATTTAGTGTGCAACATCTTAGTCAGTTTCTACAAGCACCAAGAGAGCTTCACCTGAAAGCTGCTCTTCATGTGTTGAGGTACTTGAAGAATAATCCTACACTAGGGATTTATCTATCTAAGGAGCTGAACTATACTATCATTGCCTATATGCGACTCGGATTGGGCTGCATGTCCTGACTCCAGAAAGTCATTGAGTGGATATATAGGGCTCATAGGGAACTGTCCAATAAGTTGGAAATCCAAGAAGCAAACGACTGTCTCACTTTCTTCAGCAGAGGCAGAATACAGAGCAATACGAAAGGTAGTTGGAGAGTTGGTTTGGACTGAACGATTGCTTCATGAGTTAGGAGAAGGACCCTCCCAACCTATATCAGTTTTTTGCGACAGTCAAGCAGCTATACATATCGCAAAGAATCCTGTCTTTCATGAAAGGACTAAGCACATTGAGGTTGATTGTCATTTCGTTCGAGATAAGCTTCAAGAGGGACTTGTGACTCTTCACCATATTCCAAACGTGGAGCAATTAGCTGATATATTAACCAAGAGTCTTACTGGAGCCAAGCATTCGACCATTTTGCACAAGTTGTCTAGAAGTATCTCCCTTCCAACTTGAGGGGGGTGTTGAGATTAATTAGGTGCTAACTAATTATTTGATGTATGTAAATTAGTTAGAGTTGCAGTTGTAGAAAGTTTGTTACAAATTTTAGTTAGATGGTTAGCTGTCACATGGTGTATATATTTTCTTATTTTCATACACATGTATAAATACAGAAAGGAGGAGGAATAAAAGACAGTTTTTCTTTTCCCAAATTATAATCACGTGTATCTTCTTCATGTCACTCTATTGTCTTCAATCATAAACACAAGCTCCATTAATGGAGTTCTTTAGCTGCTGAATTACAATCTTAACAAAGGATTCATGTGGTATATTAAGCATGAACAATACTCAAAGATCATTAATAATGTGAAGTCCTGAAATGTCTATATAGAAATCAAGATTAAATAATGGAAATATAGAGAGAGTTTTGAACATATTGAATTTTTGAGTAAAAACTCTAGTTTTTTTTATACGTAGATGTAGGCCATGAGAAAGATCTTGCTTCCTCACTATGATAACCCTACATACTCCACAGAATTAGAGTAGATTTTTGCTTCTTGATTCTTGCTCTAAGCTTGGGAGATATTAGGGGTGGACATAAATACCGAACAATCAAATCAAATTGAAATTTTTTGATTCTTCGATGTTTCAGTTGGTGTCAGTTTTCTTTTTTCGGAACTTCGATTCGTAGTTCAATGCAAGGGTCCTGAAACTATGGTGCCGAAGAATCAAAGTTTTATTTACTAAATTTAAAAATATTTAAATTATATTGCTT